ATATTGAAGCAAAAAATTAAAACCTCCCGCAAATAACGAGAATTTGGCTCGTAAACTGACATTTTCAATCGAGAATAACTTTATGATGCAGACACAAATCGATTAATGTTTCTATGGGGTTATGTTGACAGATGCCCAAGTTTATTGTATGACGTCTATGATCTATTTATTTCGACCATCACTTACCGCTAAAGCCATCTATAGGAAAACGGCGGAAGCAAAGTTGTACATCTAATAAGATTTTAAGTTTCGTTATTATGATATATATATTTAGGGTATTCAAAAAGTTCTGAATTTCGTAAATATCTTGAAAAGTAAGCATTTCTGAGAAAAATTATGTAGTTTAAAATATATTTACTGATTTTATCAGTTTGGGTGGCGTTGCCAAGGTCAAATCAATTTTTTTTAATGAAATACTCTATTTTTAATATCAGAATTTAATAACTTATAATAACTTATGTTAAGAGCTTTTTAAAATTCTATAATAAAGTTACTTTTCATTAAGTATTTTTCGAATTATAAGGCTTGAAAATTACAGTACCGCCTGCATTAGCATTACCAAAGATGTCTGACCGATGTCTAAAATCTCTTATTATAAATGTTATTCAGGATTATAATCTGAATAACATTTATCAAGATCAAGGTCAATGGAGGTTTTTCATTTTCATTTTTATGTAAAAATGAATTTTTAGTGCAAAAATGAAAATAAGAGGAATAATCTCAAATGGCTTTGATCTTAACAAATGTTAGGACATGATCCTGAATAGCATTCAAGAGATTTTAGTTGTCGGTTGGACAATGTTGGGTTAATGTCCAAGTTAATGTCCAAGTTTTATAACTTGAAAAATAACTTTATATAGTGTTTTGAAAAGCTTTTAACTCAAGCTATTAAATTCTGGCATCAAAAATAGGTTTCATTTTTAAAAATCGATTTGACCTTGATCTGATTTTGGTGACACCACCAAAAGTCAAACTAATAAGATCAAATAGATCTGTTTAAGAGTTACTATATGAATAGCCTAGTCTAACTAGAAAGCCATACGGAAACAATTGGCGGCTTGATCGGCGAAATCTTTTAGTTAGTCTTTTTTGCGCTCTGCAATTGGCAATAGACGGTCGAGCAGCGACGAGAGCGACTCTCTCGCCTTTTTTAGTAGTAGTAACGAATGATAACGAGTTCTGTACAAAACGCAACGAATACATTGTAAGCATTGTAAGCAAACCAATAAAGTAATAATAATACATACATATATACAAAATTACCAGCGTACTTATTAAGAGCAACAAGTCCTTAATAAGACCATTTTAACTATACAACTTACTGTACAACTTTTGCATGAAACATTTTTCTCAAAAATGCTTACTTTTTAAGACATTTAAGGGGTTCGAGATTTTTTTAATACTGCATATCGATGCCTGTCATCGATCGAGTCAGAAGGTGCTATATCGAAAAAAACATGAAGAAAGGTTTCTGCCATAAAATGAATGAAAAGTGATCTATTTCACGTGAGGCGTGAAGATCGGTCTATGTTGGATCTTATACGAAGTATAGTTTATATGCGAATAGATCACTTTTCATTCATTTCTTGATATAAACTTTCTTTATGTTTTTCTCGATATAACATCTTTTACGACTTAAGTCAATATAATATACAGAGTGGCATTTTAATCGCCCCACGAATATCAGAAACTAACAGAGATACAGAAAAAAGATTTATATAAAAACTGTAGGTTTTCTTGGGAGAAAGAAGATAGAAATAACAGATTTTATATATGGGACATTATCAAAGTCAACATGAATTTTTAAATGGGAATTATTTTTTGTTGCATATTCTTGTAGAAGTCGAATCATTCTTAAAACACTATAATAAAGTATTTTTTCATTAAGCAATTTTTGAATTATAAAACTTGACAGTTACTGTATTGCTTATTCAAAGTGGAGGTTTGACAGTCGGATTTAATCGATTGTGTGTGTGTGTGTGTGTGTGTGTGTGTGTGTGTGTGTGTGTGTGTACAATCAGAAGCAATGAGGTTGTGACACTTTTTTTTGATGGGTTTCGGAATTGGTTCTCATTCATGAATTTACAAATAAGAACCAATCGCTTGGTGAGTAAGCTGCATTCCGAAATCCATTGAAAAAAAAATATCGCAACTTCATTGCTTCTGACTATACGTACGTGTATGTGTGGAGGATGGGAAAAGTTACCCTTTTCGATCGAGTGAGAGACAAAGAAACTTACTTACATTAAATATCCCAAACGTGAGAGACAAAGAATAAATCAAGCGTAAAGGGTTGGAATCTTCGTTATATCAATGTCGTAATGCTAAGCAGAAAAATGCATGTCGATCTGAAGCTGCTTATCAAACATAGGCTGTTTTCCAGCTAGAACACAGAGATATTACACTGTGTTCCACTGTGTAAAGTACTTCTTGGAACGCAGTTTCATAGTGTAATACCAATGCATTGCAATCTTCCATTCTATTCTTATAATGATACTTAGTGTATCATAGATTTATGATTTTTATTTAAACTTAAGAAGGTAATTTTTTGAAAATTTTATTGCAAAAGTACGGCTACCAAATAACTTTTTAAAAAGTTGATTAACATTGACATATTTTACACGCTCGTACTTAGCTTTTTACTGTGTCGAGCAGTGTAACTGTCATAGTTGAAACACTATGTAAGACACAGTGTTACACTGTGTTACCTGTGTTGAAAAACCTCCATAATCAGTCCAGATAACGAAGAGAAATAAGATTATGGTACGTATAACTTTGACTCTCCTTCCCTTCTCCCACATATGCACGTACGCGAGTACATACACGCGCGCGCGCACTAAATAAATTAAATTTAATAAGTAACTTCTATGTGATACACCTTGGATAATGCTAATAAATTTGTTCTTGCTTACACTTTTTACACTCAGCATCTTCGCTTCCTCTCTTTTCAGCACCAAATATAATATATATTTATCTCATTTTAAGTGTAAAAAGTATAAAAAAGTGTAAGCAAGTCGAACACCAGACCAAATATCAGCAGTATAGTACTCAAGTTTTATAATTCAAAAAGTGCTTAATGAAAAAATACTTTATAGCCAAATCTAAAGAGACAGATTTTGAGCGGCGTCTACCAATTTCTGATTGCAGAAAGGCAGCAAATTGTACACAGAGTTTGTATTATCAGACAATATCAGTAAACTGCTGTCAAAAATATGATACTCTGATGACATGCTACACCAGCAAATCGATGACAGAAACCGAATAGAGTCTGCTGCATAACTTGACAGCAGATTAGCAGCAGAAACTGAGCAAGATCTGTTATTTTCATGTACAACATCGCCACGAGATTGACTTGTTTCTTGTAAGAAGAAAACTTTCCTACAAGAATTGGCATATGTAAATCGCGAATAGGCAAATCTCTTAAAGATTTTTAAATTTTTTCGGAGTTTTTTGAATCTCCGAATATTTTTTTGACTATTTTATAACTTTCTCATGTGTATTTTGAAATGTGAAGCTAATCAATATTTTAGCAATAAAATTGTATTGATTGTTTCTAGTTTTAGTCACCTCAGTTTTAGTCACCTCAGTTTTAGTCACCTCAGTATATATAAATATAGATAATTATTACCGTATTATTATATTTATATATATGTACACAAAATTTCTTATAAGAAATCGGTTGATTTAAATGAAAATGGCAGATCTTGCTTGGTTTCTGCTGCCAATCTGCTGTCAAATTATGTCAACAGACCTTACTCGGTTTCTGCTCGCAATCTGCTATCAGATTTTGTCAGCAAGTTGTGTTTGATTTCTACTACCAGTCTGTTTGCATAGAATGTTAACAGGTTCTATTCAGCAGAACAGGAGCAGAATGCGACATCAGTTGTGGTCTGCTAACATCTTCTGATCAAATCTGCTACTAATCTGTCAACCTCCCGCCAATTTCTGGGTAGTGTTTTGACTTCAGTTACAGAAATATGCTACAAAAATAAAAAATAGTGGTTCTTACTTTAAGAAATTCATGTTGATCTTGATTTTACCTTACGGAAAAGAATCACTGGGTGAATATTATAATCTATACGATTACTATAATCCTGTGCGAAATTACTACATACAATGAATAACATGCGTGTAGTTAGAGTAATACAAATATTGAATTCAGTTTTTTAATAGAAGGATTATACACCGATAATATTACAGAGATTATGCACATGTAATTATTATAATACAAAAACTGCAATGGGCAAATTACTGTAACAGGAAGATTACACATTCATGCTATATTACTTTTAAACCGTAACGTCTCGCCAGATATATGTAAAAATGAGTATAGAAAAACTACTTTATTTTTATTAAAAAAATGTATTAAAGTTATACTCTATTTGATAACATCTATTGAATTGATCTATCATAATTACGTTTCTATAAACGAGAAATGTTCAATGCAAGCATTCAAATGGGTCATTATTCCTCTTAAATTGTAATTGTTCACCCAGTACAAGATTCAGTTAGAATTTTCCCGGGATCTTCTACAGAGCCTTTAAAAATTGCATTTAACTGGATTATAAAACGATCCGTATGAAGTTGGCTCAATTTTTGAGAAAATTTTCTATAGCTCAATTCGATCGCTCATTGTTTGCACATTTATGCATACTTTGAATTTGCACATTTCGGTCATTCATCCAATGCGAAATTAACAAAATTCATCATGATTGTTTAACAAATTACAAAAGAGTTAATTGTTTAACAAATTACAAAAGTGATACAAAGTCGTCAGTACATCGTTAACTATTGTCAATAATTAAAATTTAAATGTCATCTGTCTTATGTATTAAAATTTAAATGTCATCATATTTATATAACAGAATATTCATCCATTTAAAAAATTACTTGTAGTATCGAATAAAAAAAATAAAATTTATTATAATCAAATGTCACTAAAAATTTAAATGTAGAAACACGATAATGTTTCGACGCAAACCATTATACGTAAAAGTCGTAATCATAATTGTAAGACCGATTAGACCGTAAAAAACGATTCATTGATTAGCTGCGTCGGAATTAATTAATTAATTGTCGCATCCTCTGCGCAAGAGCAAGTGAGTGAGAAACGTCATAACTTTAAAGTGATCATAGTCGCAAATTTTCGTTCCATCGAAAGATTAACGCCTTATCCTTATGATCAACAAATAAGAAGACAATCACGTGACTTATCATTTGCCTCATCGCCAATCAATTTATCGCTTTTTAGAGTCTTAGGTTACGATTAAGCGATTCGATATTCACTGCCAGTGCTGAAAATCTATAGTGCATATAACGTATACTATATATAGTTTCAACACTAGCAGTGAATATCGGAATGCATCCTAAAACTTTTACATGCAATGGCGTTCATACAATAAGCGAAGCGTTATTGTGAGACACTGCCGTGTTCCTTTAATTCGTATCTACAATAGATTTTTAAGTCTTAAGCCATAAAAAATATACGAACGAATATGTACCCAAAAAGTTGAAACGTATATAATTTTTTATTTCAAATATATGAATTTTACACATGACAAACTTGTGTTGACTCGCATTGAATATTTTGTGATTTAATCTTCGGAATATTAAGATTAAGATTTGAAAGACATTTAATTTTTGCAGGGATTATTGTAGAGAGCTCAATATTGGAAGTGATACACTTCAGGCACAATTTGCTAATGGTGTGTTACGCTCAGGTAGAGAGAGTCTTCCCAGTATAGACAGCGCGATGGATTCTTGGGGCGAATTAGAAGAAAACAGCAGTACCATACCGGAGATATTGAGACTTTGGGATACCGCCTCTATGGATAGCGGACAATTAGATTTGTCGATACCATCTTATCCGAAGTATCAATTGATTATCTCAAAAACAAGATTTTTTCAATAGCTTTTGTTTTTATTCATTCATTTAATGTTTTCTTTTTTTTATATTTAAAAAATCAGAACACAAGAGCGCAGCAATGGTGCTAACAGCAGATCCCAACAAATAGTGCACGTATCGCTTCATAAGGATCCAGTTTATGAAGATTTTGGTTTCTCGGTATCGGATGGTCTTTATGAACGAGGAGTTTACATAAATCGTTTGCGCCCCGGCGGACCATGTGATGGTATATTACGACCATACGATAGGATTCTTCGAGTAAATGAGGCCAGCACAGAGGATTGCGATTGTTGTTTAGCCGTTCCACTTATCGCGGCAGCCGGACCGCGTTTAGATCTAACAATAGCAAGACCCTTATCTCCTAAAAATATTGTAAAAACTTTGTAGATTGGTACAATCAATCGCTACCTGCAATTGAATCACAATATACAGTAGCGCAATATACAGTAGCATTTTCCCGATTTTATGTTGGCAAAATGGAATGCGCATGCGTGAAATAAGTAAACTGGTTTTTCTCCTTTATCTCTCTCTCTCTCTCTCTCTCTCTCTCTCTCTCTCTCTCTCTCTCTCTTTCATTTTTTCATAATTTTCGTAGATAATCATTAAGTCTGATATCATTTAAAAGTGAAACTTTTCACGTGAGATTGGTATGTACTAAAAGTGAAAAAATGAAAATTTACATAATCGATACCAAGATGTAAGGAAGTTACGAGAAAGTGAGATCATAAGGCGAATTTATATCATTCCTCTTAAACTTTTTACGAAAATTTAACAAGTGTTCACGGATGTACATACATGTATGCACGTACATACGTATTTTGATAGGAAATTGTGCTTATTTGTTATTTCTTATATATATAATCGAGAATAATAATGAATGTAGTTCAAAAACAAAAAGAAATGCTGTTAAACATAATGTTAAAAAATTTGGATATTGTATGGGGAAGTGTTGCAAAATTCTCAAAGCTATATGGAATTGATATAAATACATGTTATTTCATTACTCTTGTTCTGGATTGTATATAGTAAGAAAACAATGTATTTAAAACTCGTATAGAAAAATGTATTAGAGAACATAGCACAAACCCTAAATTGTTCTGAATTGGGGAGAAATCTTCATCTGAATAGAAAAAGGATATTTTTTAACCTGTTTCATAAATCTCTATTTTTTATTATAATTTTCATTTTTTAATTTTCATGTGATTTTTATGCACTTTATATTTTTATCTTTTACTCATATATTTAATTTAACCTCACGCAAACATTTTCTTAATATGCGAAGTTTTCGCCTGTCAACTGCATGCTCTTCCTCTTTGTTCGCACCATTTGCGGCGAAAAACCACGCAATATCCATTTTAAATATATATTTCAAATAGATATTCAAATATATTTGATATGCCGAAAGCAAGAGAATTCTAGTGCAGTCTAATGGAACAGAAAATAGACCAAAAGAAAAACAAGCTAGTTTACTACCTTGATCAAAAAATTCCCGGAATTACCACCAGGTGATGTTCTGAGTCAGCTGATTTGAATTTTCTGTTTTTTGGTTAGGTTACCACATCTATCATTGACATTCCCACCAAATTTTATCATAGCTTGACATTTGTAAAGTTACGCCGTCTTGAGTACATCTACCTCTGCACTTTTCGATTTTTTACAGTTTTAAAAATGGAGTTGAATTTGCAACAACGAGTTTGTATTAAATTTTGCGTTAAAAATGGATTCAAAATTGGTATGAAAACCTTGGAAATGTTGGGAAACTGTTTCGGCAGTGATATTCTAAAGAAAACAGCCGTTTATGAATAGCATGAAAAAACCATTACGGGAAACGCGTTTTAACAGCCGAAAGGAGGTAACGGAAAAATCGAAGATGGCTCTGATGGCTACCGACAATAGAGTTCCAGAAATGTTTCGAGAGCTGGATCAAGCGCTGGCATAAGTGCGTTGTAATCGATGGGGAGTACTTTGAAGGGGACAATATCACTTTTGAATAAAATTTGTATTTTGAATTTTCTAAATGAATTCCGGGAACTTTTTGATCAAGATAGTATATCAATTTACTAAAAAATAGACTAGAATTTCACATTTTAGGCATTTCATTACTTTCCGAAAAATTTCCCGTAAATTAGTATTTCACATTTTATAACATCTAAAAATTAATTTTAATACTTAATCGCCTCGTCATTTAGATTTATTATTTATCCAAATTGTATTTATTTAAAATGGTATGCAACATAAATTAACGTGTCATTCCTCGCTTCTGAAGTCACGATTTCAACATGGTCGCGGCGATTACTCAGGAGCCTTAACAATGAGTACTAAAAAAATATGAGCTAAAGGACCACAGAAATCGGCACTATAATTAGATTACGCAAAATTTGACAATTGATCGTCCGGACTAGAATATTCGCGATAGTTAATTTTAATTCTTAATAACATATGGTCCCAGCAAACGAGAATGAATTGAAATGCATTAAAATGGATTCAAATTTTCAGAAATACTGATTCATGAATGTTAAAATGAATCCTTTTTAATCCTGAATGAATTTTTATTCATTTATAGGAATTGCATAGAGCATATCTCTATGCCTTTCGTTAAAAATAATATTAATATTTTCTATTCACATCGTGAATACTACTCAATTTAGAATTGTAAATAGGAAGTACAGATTTTTTAATTCAATTAAATTCAAAAATAATATCAGCAATTTCTGTGCAACGTGAATACTTCAATTCAGTATAATATTCTAAATATGAAATGCAGTTTTTCAATCTAATTGAATAAAAAAAGTTTTTATCTAAAAATGAACCATAAATGCTACTTAAATTATCCAAAATTATAAATAGAAAACTTTTTCGTTTTAATCCAACTAAACTAAAAAAAGTTGTAATATAAACGTAATTGAGCTATATTTTGTTTCTCTTTGATTAGAAGTAAAATGAATGATCGATGTGAACACTCGCAAACCAAGTCGAACACAATCCGAATATTAGGCTAATCACGGCGTGCGACAAACGAGATTATCTGACACTTACTCATGTTGTCTTATAATAAATTGTTTATACTTTATTATATCTAAATGATGATATTTTTATTATATTTATATAATTTCGTTACTAATTTAGCTGATTGTAATTGAAGTAGAAAATGAATAACACATTTACTAATTGAAGAAGTGATATAGCGGGTAATGTAGAAAATTCATAATCCAAAGTTTCCAGATTCGAATCCCACTAAAATGCGTTTTTTTAATACCAATTTGAAATAGTTAATTTCAGGTATAATTATTATTAATGTCTTAGGAATAAAATTTGTAATCCTTAAATATGAATGTTTTTTTTTTTTTTTTTTTCAAATATTAAACTAATGTCAGCTCAGATCCAATCCATTTCAATCCATTTTAATCCATTCTCGTTTGCTGAGGTCAAGATTTAATTTAATCTTTTAATTTTTAACTTGTAATGACCACTGATGATGTTTCGACAATAATTGGCAATAGTTTATTTTGTTACAATTGCGACAGTTATGCGGTGAGCGTTTTTTCTTTTAAAAAATTGTTCTCTCTTTTTACTTTCATCTTTTTTATGTTGTAATGAGTTAATTCTCATTACTAAATTACTTTAGCTGAAGACTTACTTACAACCACTCAGCTATGCAACTCTGTGGCACAACAGTAGAATATTGAGAATGGATACGTCTCACTGCATTGCTGGCAGGAATAGAATTATACAAAGTTTTTTTCTACAACATACTCGCAATTCTTTGTAATTATAGTTTGCTGCCAGTCTATTGATGGCTGCTTGAAGATAGCGCAAAAAACGGAGTCAAAACGTACTGTATTATAATCGATTGTTAAATTTTGCGCAATTTAATTATAGTGCCGACTCCTATGGCCCTTTAGCTCATATTATTTTTATTACTCATTTTAAGTTGATATATGCCAGAATAAAGTATAAAATATCTCGTAAACTATTAGTTTTTTGATAACTCTACATTAATAGTTTTATATGTAGAATAATTAGAGGAATCATATTATGTAAAAAAAAATTGTATAATTCCGTTTAAAAAAATTGAGGTGACCTTTATATTTTTTTAACGCCTCCACTTAGAAGAAAAACAACATGACTAAAATATATCCCTCTTGAAATCTTTGACGCGAATAAATCTAGTGAGTTTTGTGAAAAGTTTTGAGAAAACGAATAAAAGAATGAAAAGAGAAGAAAGTTTAAGTGGTAACCGTGGTAATGCTAGATAACATACTTATTTCACGCATTTCAGTTTGGCCAACCTAATATCAAAATCAAAGATGCTGACAGAGTTGCGATACAAATATATGTATACTGTGATTAAATTGTTAATATCTTCGTAATCAATTGAATTTTAATATCTTAAATATTTTAAAATTTTTTCTTTGTAACTATAACAATTTTTATAGTAGATATGTATTTTAGAGATCAGCGTAAAATTAAAATGAACATGGATGTTAGCAATGTTGATATTTGCGTTCTTGGAATGCAGCTGTAATTTTTCAAGCGTTGCTTCGAATATTAAATGTTTCTAATATATTTTTGTACACATGTGTATTTTATTTATAAAAATAAATATAGATTAATTTTCTATACTAAATTCTATATATGTAATTCTATTCGCATATATGTATACCCAAATACCCAGATAAAATTAGCAGGATATCGACAGATTGGTAGCAGATTTGATCAAAAGATGTTAGCAGACTGATCATCGCAACTGATATCGCATTCTGCTGACAGAATTTGTTAACATTCTATGCAAATAGATAAACTGGCAGCAAAAATCAAACAAAACCTGCTGACAGAATCTGATAGCAGATTGCGAGTAAAAACCGAACAATCTACTGATAATAAAATTTGAGCAGATTGGCAACAGAAACCGAGCAAGATATGACATTTTCATTTAATCGACCAGATTTCTTATA